TGTACACTCAGATGGGTTTATTAGAAAAACTCACATATGTAGATTATGGGGAATTTACTTTCCACCTATTTTAGAGCAAATGACAGAATACAGTTCCTTCTTTAGTTAAACAATATTTCATTTGTATATACCACAAATTTGTTATCTATTAATTTGCAGATGGACTTCTATGATTATAATGTTGTCAACTATTGCTATGACTGAAGCAACACATATGAAATGGGTGCAATTGGTTCTTCTGTAAAGACACTATTTCTTTTGGATATGGACCCAGAGTTACAATAATTGAATTATTTGTATATGTACCTTTTACTTCTCAAGAGCCTCATATGTACGTTCTTTCCTCCATTTCTTAAAATCTAGGGTTATTCCATTTGTCTACTACTTCACAGGATGAATGGATGAATGAATGAATTTATTTATGGTTTCATGATTCTAAAGTTATTTTGTTCAATAAAAGGTCTAATAACCTTTCATGAAAAAAATCCCTGAAGAAAGTAAGACTAGAGGAAGCATACTTCAAAATATTTAAGGCTATATGTGAGATACCTATGCCCAATGTTATAGTAAAGGAGGGCGCTAAAAGTACTTCAGGAATAAGACCAGAAAGCCTACTTTTTCTACACTTACCCATTATAGTGCTGCAAGTCTTCATTTGAACAATAAGAAAATAAAAGAAATAGAAATAGAAAATAACCCAGATTCTTATTTGCAGATACTATGATTCTATACAGAAGAGACCTCTTAAAGACTCCATCAGAAAGCTAACAGAACTGATAAACACTTTCAGCAAAGCAGCAGTATACAAATAAATCATCACCCTCAAATCAGTAGCCTTCTTACATACCAATAACAAATAACACCGAAGAAAAAATTTTAGTTGCTATTTACAATAGCTTAAAAATACCTTGAAACATACTTTATTACAGAAGAGAAAGACCTCTCTACACTGAAAACTGTGAAACACTACAGAAAGAAACTGAAGGGCACACTAGAACATGAAAATACAGCCAATGCTCATGGACTAGAAAGAATCAATACTGGGGAAATGGAAATAGCAAAACAGTCTACAGATTCAATGCAAGCCCTATCAAAATTCCAAGGATATTCTTCACAGAAACAGAAAACTAAATCCTAAAATTCAAAGCACAATAGACCCCCCAGATAGCCAGAGCAATCTTGAGCAAAAAAAAAAAAAAAACAATGCTTAAGGTATGACTATACTTGATTTCAAATTATCCTAGAAAATAGTAAGAAAAACAGCAGGGTCCTGGCACAGAAAAACACATATGTCAGTGAAATAGAGGAGACGATTCATAATTTACCCTACACAGCCATAGTCACCTGATTTTTTTAATGCCAAAAACATACATGAAGAAAAGACAGATTTGGGGCTGGAGAGATGGCTCAGCAATTAAGAGCACTGGCAAATTAAAACTACACTGAGATTTATCTTACCCAAAACAGGACTTGGGTTCAGTTCCCAGCACCCACATGGCAGCTTACAACTGCCTGTAACTCTACTTTCAGGAGATCTGACACCCTCACACACTTATGTAGGCAAGCAAAATACCAATGCACATAAAATAAAAAAAATCATTACAAAAAGACAGATTCCTCAACAAGTGGTAATGAGAAACTGGATATTTACATGTAGAAGAGTAAATGAGATTTCCATCTCTAATCCTGAATAGAAAATAATTACAAAATTGAGTAAAGACCTCAATACAGGACATAGAGACTCTTTCAGAAGCTTAAAAAGGATTTGCTATATCATCTAGCTACTGCTCTTGGATGTGTTCGTGAAGTAGTGTACGTGAACATATCACAGAGACATTTTGCACATAGTGTTTGTTGCAATACTACTAACAAGATAAGTTATAAAGTCGACTTAAGTGCCCATCAACAATAAATAATAAATAAAACATGTAAGTATACAATATAATTTCTTGCAGCTGAAAAGAATGAAATTATGTCATTTGGAAAAAAATTGGGGCCACCAGAAATTATCAGATCAAGTGAAGTTAGAATTAGCAAATACAGCATGTTATATCACACTTATGGATTCTTAATTTTATATGGTTACACAAAGTCCTGCGTGTGTGTGACAGGAATGTAGACACAAAACTTCCTAGAAAAACAAAGGGAACTGACAGGAGATGGATGTGAGAGAAAGGAGTGAAGGGGGAGGTATACGGGAGGAATACGGAAAAAGTACATTATACATTGTATGGAAATATTCTTATAAAACCCAATGAATGTACACCAATTAAGGAGAAAGGCGTTTGCTGAAGTGATATGGCACCACTTTTCTCTAACAATGGCTAACACTTTGTGTAGGAGCCTAAAAATTTAAACTAAACACATAGTTTTAAGTCTACAGGAAAACACCAGTCAGTTGCTCAACTGCTATGAACAGGAAAATAAAATCACACACACTGCAGAAAATTAATTGCCTGACAATGTGAGTGAATACGGTAATTTCCATTCTTTTTTCATCCATTCTCTGCTAGGCTTCTGCTAGCATGGCATGCATACTGAATCCCAATTCAGGAATGAAAATCTGAAACCAGGCTATCTGCTTTTGTGTACTCTGGCATTCTCTTTCTTAAAATGATCCAAGTATGAGATATGAGCTAAGCTATCTGCCATTTTAAATGCTGAACCGGAGAATCCTGAAATTCTGCTGAAAGACACTTTCTTTCCACAGAGTTAGGGCTTCTAGTTGACCTTGAATTATTTAGAAGTTCTCTACGCAACAAGTCTTCATTTATATTCATTCTAAGCATACAGAGTTCAAGTTCAATTTTCTCCCTATGTAGTCAACCCATTAGGTACACTGAAAGCCATGGAGAGTGAGAGTTTTGAGAGAACTTGTTATGTATAGCCAGAATTCCACAGCCTGTGTTTGCTTCATGTGTCCTGAGGAAAGTTATTCAGTCAAAGTCTCAATTTCCTCAGAGGTAAAAGCTCTTTATAAACTCCCTTTTTTTCCCCTAACTTCTTTATTGACTCTTTGGGAGTTTCATATCATACACCCAGTTCTGTCCAGTTCCCATCATCCCTGCCATGCCTCCTACCACATAAGGAACCAAATCAAAGTAAGCAAACAAGTGAACAAAAGCAAAAGCAAAAACAAGCAAACAAAAAACCCAAACAAGAACAAAACAAAACCCACAGCAGTAGAAAATCTCTTTGCTTCTCCTTCTTTGCTGCTTCTCCAGTTCCTTTTCATTTGTCCTGGTGCAATAGAGGCTTCGGCATGCCATATAGTGTACCTCTCCGCCCCATCAGTTTCACTGGAACATGTCTATTGCATTGAGTCACTGGTCTGGTTCAAGGCCTCTGGCTTCTGGTACACCATTGTTGCTGGATCTCCATCAGAGCTCCTTTGGGATACGCAGTGGCTAACACAAGTCTTGGAGACTTGTAGGTGTCTTTCTAAAGGACAAGTCCCTTCATCAGCTCCAGCAGGTCCCAGATGAGGTAGATGCTAGGGTGGGTCAACCCAAGACCTGGCTGTGCGTCTGGATAGCAGCCAAGCTCTTGCATCTGGGCCCCTGAGGCCACCCACTTTGGGTAAGGGTGGAGTCAGCTCCCCTACATGCATATCCTCAGAGCTGGTTCACCCTGGTCTATAGTGAGGGGTGGGGGTTATCTCTTCAGCATGCAGAAGTTAGCTCTTTTGTGTAGAATCCAACAAGAGGCAAGTAAGCTTTCCCAGGGCCAGTAAAGGGCATGGCCAGCTCAGAATGGCCCTCTGATTTCATTTCACATGGTTCCTAGAACCTCCTGAGGTGATGCAGATCACAAATATCAACACAGACCCCAGTTGTAGCTGGACCATGGACTCAGACATGGCCCTCAGCAACAGCTTGAGCCAGATGGACATCCTGGCTCTGAGTGGAAGGATTGGCCACTCAGGTAGGAATGGTTGCAGCTTTAACCTTGGGCCTCTATGTGACCTTTGCTGGCAATGCAGGACCCAAATGAGCTTAATGGACAGACCCAGTCATGGTACAACGATGGATCCTGATATGGTTCTAGACACTGACTGGGTCTGGCTGTCATCACTGTTCCTCTGGCAGTATGGCCCTGAGACATAAGCACGGCCCTCCATCTCAGGTGTCTACACAGTCTTCAATGGCAGCAGATGCACCGGACATCAGCACAGACCCTGGCTGCAATAGGACCACAGACCCTGGCATGGCCCTCAGCTGCAGCTCTGGTCTGGATGTCACCAAGACAGTAAGTAGCAGTATAGGCCACTCAGATCTGAATGCATCCTGGCCCTCAGATACCAACCTGGACTCACGTGGCTGACCTGACTCTGGGCATCCTTATGGCTCCCAGTGGCAAAAGAAGCCCCATAACTTCAATGCAAACCCTGACTGCTATAGGGCCACAGACCCAGACATGACCCTCATCTTCATCCTGTGCAGTCCACTGGTATTTGTATGGCCTCTGCTGTGGCATGACCCTCAGACTCCAACCAAGTCACAGGCTTCAGCCCAGATCCGAGGCCCTAGTAGCAACCTGGGCCACAGACTTCAACACAGATCCTGGCTGCAGATGGGCCATGGATCCAGACATGGCCTCAGACAGCAGGTCACCCAGTCATAGTCCTAGCTCCTAATGGCAATCCAGTCAGGATGGCTCTGGTAGCAATATGACCCTTGAATACAAAAAAGGCCACAGGTTGCATCCCAGACCTCAGGCTTCATGTGGCCTTTTGTGGAACCGTAACACACGGGCATCACACAGACCTCGGCTGTGGTAGGACCAGGGACCGAGACATAGTCCTTGGCAGCAGCTTAGACCTGGTTGTCACCATAGTCACATGCTGCTGCCAACATAGTCCCAAAGGCAGCTCTGATCAGTATAGCCTAAGCAGCAGCGTGGATCATGAACCCAAACAGGGTTCAAGGAGGCAGCCCAGGCCACTGGAATCAGCACAGCACTCCATGGCAACAGGAACCATGGATACCAACATAGATCCTGGCTACTGTAGGACCAGGTGCCCTGATATGGCCCTTGGCAGTAGCCCTGCCTAACATCATCATCGTGACCCCAAGTAGCAAACGACCTGCCCCTCAGTCTACTCCTCACTGCTGTCACCAAGGATTCAGATGGTAAGGAGGCATCCAATGTCTGCCCATTCCTCATCACATTCATTTCTTCCTTTCTGTGTCTTTCCATAGCGCAGGAACCATTCTGTTTCTCTATGTCTCCCTACATATTTCCTTATTGAAATAAGGCCCACATGCCTGGCGCCACAAGGCACCTGGCACCCCTGGCTGTCTTCCTGCCAGACAGGGCCTGGAGGACCCCAGGTGGCTATTTTCCAAGTGCCCAAGGCCTGGAGGACCTGGGGTGACGTGTTTTCCTACCGGCCGGGTTCGTTTAGCTTCAGGCAGGGTTTTTATATACTCTTGTGAGGCTGATAACAACAATATTAGTTGACATCCTGAAAATTACTTATTGTTCTTGCTTTTTAAAAATTCATGAAGATCTTTCAGGTCACTTGAACCAATCCTTAAGGAAGTTCAGGAATGTCCATCAAACAATGTTAAATGGCCACCCAGATTCTTCTTCAGTAGTTCCCATGAATAGTTGTGTCACTGTCCCACCTGCCCGTGCTGTGTCCATTTCCCCCTCCTGCAGGTATGAGAAAATACTGAATGAGAAGAATTCTATATCACCATCTCATGGGTTCTGGTTCCCTCAAACTTAAAAAAATTAGAATAATGCACCAACCCTAAAACACCATTTCTGGTTTTCTCGCCCAATTCCACCTCCCATTATGTGGCACATGCTCTTCCAAGCTAAGTCTCGCTGCTCTTCATATGACAATTCCACTGCTCTGACTCCTCTTCTCTGAACTCACTCCACCGTGTTGATGCTCCTCTTATACATGGCTGCCTGCACAGCCAAACTCTACAGAATCTGACAACAACAGAGACCAGAAATGCACTTGCATTCCTTTTCCTGGATACTGTCTTTCTCTTAATACAGGATAAGAGTGCTTTAGCTCTTTTGGCTCACACCTTTGGATCACAGTGAGCTGGCTGTCAATTAAAATATCCAAGTTTTTTTTTCATGTGAATTCCTGTTAATCCAGTTCTCCTTGAGCCTTGTATTAATTTCCAGTCTGATGGATCTCTGTGAATCCTCATTCCTTTCCGTGAGTGTATTAACTGTCTCTTCCAGCATTGTGTCAATAGCAAATGTGGTTGTATCTTCATTTATGTTGCCAATAAGAATGCTGACTAGCATGCAACCAGGATAAGAACTCCGTGAAGATGCTGGAAACGAGATCACTATAAGCTCCTGCTTCAGGTACACGGTGATTTAATTCTGTAACTCTCCTTAGCTATACCATAACTGTCTCAGATATAAGCATGCTGCATGTGGAAGCATGGCCTACTGAAACAGCCTGGTCTTTATTGTCACATACAATAGTTAGACATTTTCACTTTGTCATTGCTAGCTTATTTAACCTCTGTGAACTTTTCTAATTAAAAATAACACATTTTTTTTAGTTAGTAGACTAACTCCATGGAGATCTGTCTCATTCTGACCTCTGTACCTCCATTACCAAGAACAAAGCAGGCACTTTCAATGAAGTAATAGCAGATATCTGTAAGAACACCGTTTAAGGAAGGAGTTGTGCAAAGGGAATTCTGAGCACTTGTGAGAAAATTCCAAGAAAACAAGACTATAGTCTTCAACAATATAGAATTGTTCATGGAGTGTGTTTTCATGCTCCTTCCAGGTATAGAACATAGGTGTGAATTTACTTCAAATGTTGTTATTCATATGCCTCTATGGAAAAACATGTTTTTGCCACATGTGTCTTGTCCTAGAGTATAAATTATCTGACGTTCTGAATAAAGTTGTCTATTGCGTGCAGCTAAAGTTCATCTTAGTTTTAGGCCCCACTCCCCCAGATTCATGCTGGCAACTAAAGCATTAAACAGATAAATACTTATCTAAATAAATAAGTAAATAAAACAATAGTTGGGCCGGGAGTTGGTGGCGCACACCTTTAATCCCAGTACTTGAGAGGTAGAGGCAGGCGGATCTCTGTGAGTTCGAGGCCAACCTGGTCTACAGAGCGAGTTCCAGGAAAGCCTCTAAAACAATACAGAGAAATTCTGTCTCGAAAAACAAAACAAGAACAAAAACAAACAAACAAAATGGTTGGACAAGAAACATTGCTCATATCTTTTCCTGCATCTGTTCTTTTAGCCCAATTATGAGAAACCTTCATTATTCAACTATCATCTATTCTTCATTGATTTGCTATTGGGATTAATAATGGCTGTATCTATTTTTATTGGAATTTAACCATTATCTTATAAAATTTACCCTTTTCAGCTTCGTAATTCAGTTACTTTGAGTATCCTCACAAAATTGTGTAAATGTTATCATAATTTAAAATCAGAATATTCTCTGATATTGATCATTTGCACTTCCTTTCAGTATTTCATTCTAAGACAGTCATATGTCTTCTTTTTCTTTGAATTTAGCTATTCTGGTCATGTTTATGACTATATTCTTTCAGTTAGTGTCCATCTTTCAAGGTGTACTGAGGACTCAAAATTTATAAGTACTTCATTTAATTTTAGGGTCAAATGTCGAGGACGAATGTCTTCAGGGCTGTGGTTGGAACCAGTCAGAGCCAGCCAAACGTCCCTGGGTCCTTTCCTGAGTGGGGGAGTGTGGATGAGGGAACACTAGCTGTCTGGTGGTGTTAAAGTAAGATGGAGACATCTGATCATAACAGGAGGGCAATCAGTTAATACTGAAAGCCCAGTTTATTGATGCATCATCTTAAGCAACCATCCAAATGTGGAATAATGGCAGAAGACATCTATTATTATGTATAAGGACTGAAAACACTCATTTCCCTTAATCCTAAAGATACTCCTTTGCTACACATACTCAAGCCTCTGGAACTTGACCCCAGCACATATTACTAGCCTTCAGGGTGGGTATAAACTTGTCCTAGCCCAAGTCTATTGTTATTTAGATAGAAGCCATTCTCCACCAAGACCAGGACATTCTGCAGCTATTAGCTGACATCTTAAAGACAATAGACATCTAGGCTCTCCTGAACTTGCAGCAGGGTGGAGTAGATTTCCAAAATATATGGGCCCAACAGTCAAATAATATTTCATTGTTCAGAAACACCTTGCTTTATCCATTCTTTATGTGACATTATAAATATGTAAAATCATCACTAGTAGCTAATAACAGAGAATTCTCATAATTCCAAAAAGAAACCCAAGTCCATTAGGTTGTCACTTTCTGTTTCCACTCTGACCACTCCCAGAACTAGTGGCTTTCGCTGTGGTCTTTGTACAAGGACCAATTATGGATCTTTAAAATAAACTGAATTATACAAACATGACACTTTCTGCCTAGCTTCTTCTTCTTGCTTCATTATGCTCATTATGTGTAAGAACTTTATAGATTGTTTGGTTTGGTTTTGGTTTTGCTGAGATAATACTTATTGTTTGTTACACCATCACTTCATGAACATTTGGCTTATTTCTTTATTTTTTAAACTTTTATTAATTCTTGGTGAATTTTACGTCATGCATTCTGATCCCATTTATCTCCCTGTCCCCTCTCATCTACTCTCTCATCCACACACTCATTCACTGTTCCTCCAAATCAAAACCAAATTTAGAAGAAAAACAAAACCAAAAAGAAACAAACAAAAGGAGAAGAATCTTGTCATTGAAGCTATAGTGTGGTTCATTGAGTCACACAGTTAACCCTTTAGTCCATTCATCTTTACTTGCAAGTGCTCATTGTCTCCGGTTGTTGGTCTGGTTCCAGGCCCCTGGTTTCTGCTATACCATCACTGGGTTTCCTCTTGGGTATCCTATTGTTGTCCTGTGTCGTAGAGACCCTGATGTTTTGGATATGTAGGTTTTTTTCCCCTTCACATGCTCAAATAGTTCACAGACTTGGTACATGTTGGGGTAGGACAATTTGTAGCCCTGGTTCTAGTCCTGGGTGGCAGCTGGGTTGGTCAACCCTCCAACTTTCCCTCATCATCACTGTGCAGACAAGCTATCCAGCACTGCCCTGTCTAGAAGTAAGCAAGTACTGAGTATTTTTATTATTATTATTACTATTATTAATCATATTATCATCATTACTAACACTTCATTGAATCCTGATGTCTGCTTAAATCTCTCTTCACTGTCATTCTTCTGGGTGTTCCTAAGAGGAGGTTTCCTGAATCATTGGGAAATCTATGCTGAAATTTTGGGGTAAAACTGTACAGGCTTGTTTTTTGTTGTTGTTGTTTTCTCTCTGTTTCTCTTGTACTCTCCTATGTAGTGAGAAACTATAAATCATTGTGGTTTTGATCTCCATATAAAATATTATGTCTATTTTTCTTGTTATCTGCTTTTCTGAATTCCATATCATGATGTAGGTGGCCTGTATGAGTTTTAAATGAGAGCTATTAGTTGATCTTTAACTGCTTTGTACAATTTATTAGCTGGGGCCAATACTTTTATTTAATTGCTTTTTTCACTTGCTGACATAAAATTGCCCATTGCATTTCCTTATAATCTGTTTCTTTTCTCGGGCTGGAGGGATAGCTCAGCCATTAAAGGCTAGGCTCACAAGCAAAAATAGTCCTTTCCTTTTATTCAATTCTCACAGTCTAAAACTTGGTCGCCTTGACAGCTGGTTGCTTTCCTTTCACCCACTTAAAACTTTAACATCTGCTCCAAGAAGCAGTGAAAGTCTTTCAAAATATTAGATTAGTAAAAGTCATAAATATGTTGCTTGCCACAGTTATATTTCACCCAAGTCAGAACTAATATTTTCCTTGATGTTTGCATAATAATTGGGTTATTCTGAATCCTAGGATTCCTACATAAGTCTTATTTCTACACACTCCTACTCAATTCCTGTATCTATATGTCATTGCACATTTAGAGTTTTCTTTAATCAACAATCCAAACTTTTTTCTTCAACTAGAATAATTTATTAAAAGGTTAATGTTTACTGAATGATAAAATTCTCAAATTTTTTTGTAGCCAGTTCCTTTTCATTGTTCTGTTCTTTTACAGAGAAGAGGGTGGGATTCAGATGGGAAATG